CCATATTTTTTTTTCCCACCCAGCAGCTGAGATTGCCCTTCCCTACAGGGAAGCACTTTTTTTTCCCTCCCCTTTCTCCCCTCTCTGTTCACTGCTGCTATTACACATTCACTTTTCTCTTTTTAGGCTTGTACACAATTCTGGACTCTTCTACCCACCACCCCTCCTCTGCCCCATGCCTGTCCCAGGCTGATGAGCATCACACACACAGTATATCCAAGGATGATCATGGAGATGCTCTCAGATCTTGTTTCTGCCGTGTTTGATTCCTTTCTCCTTTGCTTGAAGTGAACCTGGTTTGACAGGGGGGGTTGGACTGGATGATCTCCAGAGGTCCCTTCCAACCCCCACCAGTCTGTGATTTGGTGAGAGACAGAACAGAAGTACATCTCAATGGCCAGCACCTCCCCTGCTAAGGACACCGCTGCAAATCCCGCACCCAGCTGAGACACAAAAAGGCTTTTGCAATGTTGCAAATTTGTGGGCAATAACCTGGAGAGAAGATGGCAGGAGAGCGGCCTGTTATCGCCTCCTGACGCTTCCTGGCAAATTCTGTTATCTTCCAGATGAAAATACCATCGTAGGTGGAAGCTTCCATGTTGCGGATCTTTTCCTCCATCTCAGCCATGGCCAGATCTTTGAGCCCAATGCTCCTTTCCAGCTGCCGGACCTGCTCAGTGGGATACACGGTGCAGCCTGGTTAGAAACACGTACTGCTGTGAGACCCGAGAAAGCCAGCAGACATCAGCATCCCCTGCAGGACAGCTCTTTAGTGAGAGACATGCTCCAGAGCTGACAGGGATCACAGGAGGGAGAAATTTAGCATCGTAAGCCAATTCACTGAAGCTTCCTGTTGAACCCTGTCATTCTGGAGAAGACTCATTGACACAACTCAGTGCTTGAGCTAGCAATTTTCCCACAGAGAATGGAAAAATCTGCCCGGTGAGCAGCTCTGTTACATTAGCCACAAAAGAAGTGAGGATTGGGGGGAAAACACCACCTCAGCATTGTGACAAAACTAGATTGAGAAAGAAAAGAACCTACACCCAGCCAACAAAGTCTCCAGAGGGTTAGTCACTGGCAGTTTTGGCAGCTCCCTTGCCCAGAGAGCACAGGTACGCTGCAAACTGCCCAATGCCCAGCTGCCAAGATGTGCTAACAGTGCTCAGCAGGGTCTGTACTGGAGCATACTGGTGGGAACAGCTTCTTCACACCACTAGACCATGCTTGGCACAATGCTGTAGCACAGCATCAGTGATGACACTCCTTTTGAAAGGTCTGGAAGGTGAGCAGCCCCATGGATTAAGAGAGATCCTGTGAAATGCTGGGTGCTCTGTGTCTTGTTGGCAAACACCTGGGAACAACACCGTGGTGTCTGCATAACTTGATTACTAACAGATCTGAACGCTTTATGTGTGTCAGTTTAATTCCTGTCTTTCCCAGGAAGCTTTTGAGCGTTGGGCACGGGCACAAATGATATTTTAGTTCTGCCTTCAGATCTGTGGAGATTCAGGGCTAGGCAGTGAAGCTTTGCTAGCTCATAACATGGAAAGAAAATTGAAAAAAAGTCTCTGCTCAGAGTGCTGGAAAGCCCAAGCCAGTGGTTACACACCTTGTTACTCAGTGTTTCGATTTTCTCCTGGTCTAGTCGATGCTGCCGACTGTAGGCTTCGGCTGTTTGAGAACCCCTTTTCACCTCCCGGTTGAGCACGCAGACAATGTTCTCAAAGGTCACCGTTTTCCTCTCAAGGGCCTCACATCTTCCCAAGAGCTCCAGGGACCTGGAGAGTTCCGACTCTGAGCACAGAGAATTTGCTGCCAGTAGTGGGGAGCTGTTTTGCGATGAGGAAAGGGCATGAAGGGGCTTTAAGTCTCCAGACCCAGTCTTGAGGCTGAGCACAAAACTCAGTAACATGTAGAGATGCTCCGCCAAACACTTGCTTTCGTGTTCTGATAGCTTTTCATTTTCCACCTACATGAAGAGAAATACATCCCCCATTCAGCAAGCTCAATCTACGCTGTCACCATCCACAGAACAAATTCCTCTTGAGGTCACAAGGTTAGCTTTAAATTATAAAGAGGAAAAACCAAAGAAAGATAGTTAAAAACCTGGGTTGGGGTTTTTTGGTTTTGTTTTAGAAATGCTGCAATCGCATACAATGACGGATGCTTAACGTTTCCCCAGCTGTACACACTGTTCTCCTCTGTCTTCCTCCATTACTTCCCCAAAAGGGCTCTGTCAGATGTACTCAACAGCACCAAAGCCCCACGTAATCCCCCCAGGGAGGGATTTTCTATGAACACCATCAGTAGGAGCTGGAAAAACTAAAGTCACACAGAAAAATATGGCCTGGTCTGAACTCTAGCAGGAGAGCAAGACAGCAGATGCCCAGTTCTGTGCTTACAGATGAAGCAGCGTAACCAGCAGAGTCTCAAAGCACTTGGTATGTTTCTCAAGAAGGAGGTTTCCTTCCACATTAATCCATTCTCTGGGGTTCATTCTCTGGATACCCAAACTCTGGGCAACAGATGATGTTCAGCTCCATTTGCAAAGGGTTTGAAACACCACTTTGTTCAAATCTCTGAACACAAACATCTGCAACAGTTTGGGCAACAGCAGTCTGGAGGTTAACCCTAAGGCTGGAACTGAAAACAAGTCCCCAGATAAACATCAACAGACAAGCCCTTACCACCTCAGCACATCCGACAACCTTAAATCTGCAAGGCACCTTAGATCTGCCACAAGTCTTCACATGGTCCCGAAACTAGAAAGGAAGGAAGGCAATGTTAGATCTTTGGTGTCCTCAGTAGCTCCCTTTCCATCTTGCTGACGTCTAGGAAACTGAAGACGATCTCAAGTACATGCAAGACATCACTAATGACTTGCTGCCAAAGTGTGTGGTTAAACCTGGAAGGAAGTTCAGGTTCACTCTAACATAGAGCACTGACACCTGGAAGGAAGTTTTATTTCTTTCTCTTGATGGCTAGGAGGTCTCACTTCTCACCTGCATATGCAAGAAAGAAAAAGCAACCAGCACAGGTTTGTGTTACAGAATCTGAGCAACAAGCTCCACTGAGGGCAGAGGAAGGGGAGGCACAAGGAACAACCCTATCAAACAGCCATTTAATTCTGTGCACCTCACATAAGCCTGGCCAGGATGGTATTTGTACCTCCAGCATAGCATTGTCCATCTGAGAACAGAACGCTTCCCAGTGGTCCTGCCTGAGTGTTCACAGCAATGACTACAGGTCCATCTGTGCAAGGGAAGATGCTCTGCTGGGTCCAGCATCCCCTCGCTGAGGTGCTGAAGGACACAACACCTTCACACCACAACACCTCACATCTGGCAGCTGCTGTGGAGAATCTAGGCCAACAGTGGACACTCCAGAGAAGTGCCACTAACCCCCCAGCTGCCAAGATGACTCGTTTGGGTTCCCACACAGTGCATGATTAATGCTAAAAAGCACTGGCACATTATGATCTTGTTTTTGATACACCTCTCATCATCAGATATCAGTGGTCTGTTCTGAACAACAACAATACTCCACATTTAACACCTACATCTGCTACAGCAGATGTTGTTTAAATTGTTTTGAAATCCCTTTTTTTACAAGCTTCTCTATCCATCTGGCTTGCTTAAGGTTATTCAAGAGTTACAATGGCTGCAGCTAATCAACAAAAGTTTGGAAAGAGATAAAAGAAGTTAATATTTAAATGAAGGGATAGATCACCTATGGGAATCTTACAAGCCCAGTCTCTGCTGGGCTCCAGCTTCCACCTGCAGACGAGCAGCTCTGCACCCCAAGATCCCAGCACAAAGTCCCTCATTTCGGTGCCCACTTTGAAGAACTTTGATGCTTCTGTCCCACCTGTCCTGCTACACAAGGGCCTTTTGCAACAGTACTACTAAAAGTATTTGCCCATAGCAGGCAGGATGGCTTCAGATAAATATGCTTTTTGAAGATGTTTCCCCCAAACCTTTGATTTTTTTATACTTTTGAGCCTTGCCCCAGGAGCCAGAAGCATGGAGGCCCTATAGACATGGATTCTATCACATGACTAATTAGAAGTAAGTTAATTTAGCTGGACATGGGCTCCCTTTCCATAATTGCAGCTGCAGCTGATCTAGTTGCTTTACTCAGGACATAAGTACCCTTTAAACCCACGAGTGTGCTTGTCCCATGGGGGCCCTGCACCCAGACACGGCGAAGGCACCGCTGGAGGGGAGGTGACGTCGGCAGCACTAACGCAGAACTGCGAGTGCTGATGATTCACACTCACACCCAACCACTGGTTTGAGCCTTATGGAAAGAATCACACAGAATCACAGAATGTCAGGATTGGAAGGGACCTCAAAAGATCATCTAGTCCAATCCCCCTGCTGAAGCAGGAACTAAAGGTCACATCTATTAACAGCTGCCACTTAATTGTTTTCCCCACTCCACTTTCTAATGGTCTCGGTTATCCTCCCTGCTCCAGGAACGCCGGCGTCAGCCCATCGGGACGTCAAACGTCACCACGGCACATGGATGGATGGATACCTTCTCCCTCGGAACCTTCTTCCCACAGCCTTCACAAGTCAGAGGAAATTCAGGGCAGACTTCGTCATGAGCCTGTAAGAGAATCAACAAGGGAATATTTAGTCCTCTACATCAAAGCTCCAACGAGGTTATATGATGAGTATAATTCAACAGGGTTAGTTTTATAGTTTCTTACAGAAGAGTGCTGTATTTTACCAACCTATACTCAAATCTTGGTCATGCTGATAATTCTGCATGCTGGCTTATTTGTGCAATTTCCAGGCAACTATAGTTTTGGGTGCCTGTGAAGCCTCAGCCTCAATTAAAAAAATAAATAAATAAAAAAAAATAAAATTCCTGCTTTGATGGACAAGATAGTCAACAGGAAGCCTCATTTATGGCTCTGCCAGGAAAATACACATTTGGGCAGGTTGAATGAAGTAAGCCACTATCTCAGCAAGATAATTTGTTTATTTTTTTCCACTGTAATGGTTATCAGTCAGTTGAAACACGAACCCATAGCCTACTCATCACACGCTGGGCTGAGCTCAGTCTGATAGTATCTTCATGTTCAAATCAGAAAACCATTTTTCAACCAAAAAGAAAACTATTTTAAGCCAGTTTCACCTAATAGCCCCTGCACACAAGCACCCGTCCCTGCAGCAAGAGCAGACACAGTTTGCTTGGCAGCCAGAGGAGCTGAACAAACGATCAGGGCAATGTGATACTCTGTCCTCAGCAGATACCAGGGCCAGCAACACCGGCTAAATCGGGAATGCTCAAACACGTCTCTGCTTTCTGTGTCATTTCCACACTGCTCAAACCTTCTCTTATACACCAACCAGGTGAAGCAAGGTATTTTAAATGCCGTGAATATGCAGTTCAAAATTCAGATTAAAAGATAAGGGCAATGAAGTATCCTGCCATGGTAGGAACAGGAAAACAAACAAACAAACAAAAACCACCCAGGAGCATTTATAAAGCTGTCACCTGAAACCAGGTGCTTTGAAAACTTGGTCACATTTATTCTTTATTAAAACAAGTTACTGCCCTGGTGGGGGGTGGGAAACATGCACAACCTTAAATACTGTTACCACATCAGAAACTGGGAAGTGAAACTCATTAGTGGCTCAGCTTTGGCTTCTTAGTTACTCTCTCCTTTTCAGACTTTAAATGAGTAATCAGACTCAAAGTCTGCAAAGGGACCGGCCAGCCTGCGTGGTTGGGCTGGGCAGTGCTGCCTGCAGAGGCGGCAGAGGATGCAGAGCACCTTCCTTCATCCTCCTCGCTCTTTCTTCTACCCATCTACCGCTCTCATGTTCTACAAACACCAGATAGCATCTCCCCACGACCCACAAAACGCTGGCATCAGAACAGACGGCCTAGCTGAAGGAAGGAAACTTCCCTGTAGAGACAACTATTTCAAAAGGGAGTATGTAAAACTCATGTTCTCCCATGCCCATGTGCTGGGCATGAAACCACCACCCCCTCTGCACTCCCCAGCACTCCCAGCATTTATCTTCAATCCCGTCTCCGCGGCACCCTGCGGAGCGTGCCCACCTCAAAGGGAAACCAGCCCGGCACAGCTCAGCTGAAAGTGCAACTGGTCCGTATGCAAATTGTTGAAGACACCCAGAAGCAGCAGCTTTAACCAGCGAGGATCCAAACCTCTAGACAAACATTTTTGTATAAACAGTTTCGGGCTTTTCTGGAATCCCCTGTTCCTTCCCCTTCAACTCGGGTGTCTCAACAGAGACGGATGCTATCGCCGCTGGAAGAAATCCACCCCACCCAGGAGCTGAAGAGCAAGGGTTGGCATTCAAGCCTGATCTGCCACACTCCACTCCCTCAGGAATGGGGCAATCCTCCTGTTGACACCTTTCCCAAACCCATATCCAAGAGCTTCTGCAGCAGGGAGGAGCATCTCGGACACTCAGGCATTTGCCGTGAACGTTTCGGGCAGCTTTGGAAAGCCGTCAGTGAACGGGGTGAGGGGAGAGCACAGTCGCTCTCCCGGAGTGAACCTGTCGTGGAGATCAAGACAGACGGAGGTTCGGGAGAGGAGATGGCAACAGAAGAATTAAAGCAGAGCAGGAAGACAATGGTCTGACTCTGACCTTCAGGGCTACTCTCCAGTTGACACCTCAGTGTCAACTTCTCACTCACCAGCTGTAAACTGAGGCACTGCAGCACCCAACAGCAGCGGCAGGAAAATCAAACTGGGCAGAGTTAACAGCCTGCACAGCAACACCTCGCTCTTCCCACTCGATTAAAACCTAAACCGACGATTGATCCACACATCAATTACACTCCCTAAAAATAAACAGTGAGACAACCCAGCAGCAGCCTGTACATCACACACAGGTGATTCTCTGGGAGCCCATTGAAAAGAGAAGAAAATCAGCCTCCACCGTCGCCTTCGGAAGGACCATGGCATCCTACAAGCCCTCGGGTCACCACCACGGCTGCTCAGCCCTCTACACCCACCCGTGCTCCTCTCTCCAGAGCAGAGCTGCCATGGAGGTGTCGAGCCCTCCTCCCCTTGCCTGTAGATCTGCTGGCAATCAGAGCTGCCTGTGCACATGCCAAACTCTCCTACCTCAATATCAGGAAAGCAGAAAAGAGTTTGCAGTATTTTGAGGTTGAGGTTTCTCTCAGGGCACTCCTGGGATCATCCCCCTACACCCCAAGAACGGGAACGGGCAGCTCCTGTCACGGCAGCTCTGTGACACCAAGGGCAGCACATTTCAATGCAGAACAGCGCAGGCACACGCAGGGAAAAGTGGGATTTGGTAACAGCAGCTGATCCCCGGAGGACTCAACCTTAGGTCATTTCCTAAGGAATGCCATGCCAGGATGAGCTGCTCTGCTGCACCTGCACGAGTGGGACAAAAGGCAAAACTGCAGTTTAATCCGATTGCCATTTCGCCTCTTCGAGGCTTCGCTAAACTTGACTGAACCATGGAAGAGGCTCCGGCTGAAAACGATGATCCCGTTATCGTGGTGGCAGAGCAGGAGCTGCACCTGCTCCCCAGCTGCCCGGCTGCATCAACACAAGTCTGGTTTTACAGAGGTCTGACAACCACGTTGGGACATCCATCAGCGTCACACAAGGCTCCCCCCTCCAGCTAAGGGACGAGGCAGGCGGCTGAGAAAATCAACCTTTGGAGCAGCTGCTGTGAGGTGCCTCTGCCAGAGCCTGGGTAAGGTTATCGCAAAGGGCAGGGCTGGCAGGGAGCAGCCGCAGCACCAGGCTCAGTGGGAGCTGCACCTTGCAGTGCTCCTGCAAACACTCTCCTGCAGGTCCATCTTTGTGAGATGGTCCATTGGCCCCCTCCGAGCATGGCAACAGCAACCACAAGCACAGCCAAAGCTGAAAGGCTGGGCAGCAGGAAGGGGCACTGAAAAGGATGGAAAATTAACAGGAGAGCAGAGGAAATGCAGCTGAAGGGGCACAGGGCACGTCGAAGCGCTGTCAGGGCTTGGGCAGTCTCCAGCCACGGCACAGCCGTGTTCAGCACATGGCTCCTTTGGCATCTTAGCCCACGGTGGGCCCACAGAATTGTTATGAAAACACTGAAAATGGGTGTCCAGTGTAAAACAGATGCCTGCCCAGGTTTTGAGGGAACCTGAATCCCTTGTGCCAAGAAGCGTGAGTTGCTTTGTGCATCTCTGCCAGCTCCTCAGGAGCTCCGGAGCCCCGAGACGGGAATGTGCCACAAAACACAGGTACTTTGGGACATCCTGCTCCTCTGAAGTCAACGTGACCTTCTGTGCTGTGTCTCTTCCTCATCAGGGAAGTCCTAAGGCTGGTTTTAAGCCAGGCCTGCTGGAAGCTTTCCCCACGCAGGTGGGCTGGGCTACCATGCACATGGTGCTTGCTGTACTGCATGGAGCCCAGCAACACAGGGCTGGAAAGCAGGAAGCCAGTCTGCAATCCACAATGCCAACCAGGAACCAGAGCTTTCCGACACCGTCACATCAGCTCGTGCCAGACAGAAACTGCTCCCTTTGCTGGGAGATGCTGGTGACAGAGATCCAAGCAAATTCACTTGACATCACAAAGAACTAAACCTCTAAGAAAGTGTCAAAAACAAAGATGAAGTTTCCACCAGTAGTTACTCGTGGCTTTAGTGGGCGTGCACATGGGAAACCAGCACCACCTTTACTCTGCTGTCCAGCACCACAGCATCCACCTGAGCTGAGGACAGAAACTGGCAGAAGAGATGTCGGGGGTTCCCAGGGACCTTGCACACGCCTGTTTTCAGAACCAGCAGAACAACCTTTGGTTTCAGCTTTCTCCAGTTTTGTTCAGCAGCTTTTAGGGCTGATGGGACAGACATTTGATTTGGGGTTTATTGGTAGAGGGACAAAGGCAGCGTTTCTTGAACCGAGGAAGGATGTGGAAGCAGTAGCAGATTTTGAAGAAAGCTGAAGGTACCAGAAACATCTGGAAGCAGCAGCAGGTTTTCCAACGTTTGCTAAAACAGCCTCTGCCTTTCCGTTTGCTACGTGAGCTGTGGGACACTCCAGGATGCTTTCTCCAAATCCCTCCATCATCCCAGAGGAATGATTTTCCTAGGTAGACTCTAGGCTGAAACTGAGCAGGGTTGGGCCCCCAGAGCATTTTAGCTAAGCCTGAGTCTGAACCAGACCTGGCCCCATGGCCAGCTGAAGGTGGTGCACCACTGTCCCTCACCTCAGATGTGGTCAGCTGCACTGCAAAACAAAAAGACTAAATCCACTTGTCAAGGAAATTAAAAATTATGGCGTTGGACTGCACCAAGTCTCTGTAAACAGCTGTTTGACATGTCAGGGAGGTTCAAAGCAATCGGGAACATCTGATCAGAGATAACTCCGCAGGTCTTCTAGGCTACAATTAACAGTTACAGTCACGGTCCCGTGAAAAATGCCCAGGATGTGCTGTTCACATCTAATGAGGTCACTGCTTGAGAACCTGTCACTGGGGACTGGACTCCACTCACACCATCACACGAACAACACCAGGCCCTGGCGTGTTCGCAGCACTGACCTGAATTCACCTCTGATAGCTCTTCCTGACAGTTGGTGCTGGCTTTAGCTGCAGGAGATGCTGCAGTGCTGACGGCTGTGATTTCAGCATGCTGAGAGAACTGCCTGTGCTGACCAGGTGCCAGGACAACACCCCTGGAGACATCTCCCTCCCTTCCAGCAGAACATTCACCAGCACGCAAAGCTTCACCTCCATGGCTCGGATCAAAGGGGAGAGCCTCAGGCTGAAGGCTCTCAGTGGTCTGCCTGACCTTCACATGGCAAGGGTGGTGTTGACAGAGGTCAAGCTTTGAGCTGCAGATGGAGGGAAGGGGCAAGGACGACTCCTTTGCCCGGCAGGCAGCGTGGAAGGCTGGCTGTGAACAGAAGGGCTGTTAAAGCACAAGGCTAAGAGCACCACTGGCACCCAGAAAAGGGAAGATGAGGCAAATATTGCAACTGGGACAGATGTCCTTCAAATGCTGGAGAAGTCAAGCCTGTGGTGGGTGCCTTGACTTCAAACCTGATTTCTCAAGGCTGTCCAAAGAGCTGGAAGTGCCCAAAGGTGTGTGTGTGTGACCGGGGCTTTGGCTCCTGCCAGACACCTGGAGCCCAAGGAACACCTCCCTGGACATGAAGTGCTTCCCCAAAGCTGTGTTGATGCTGAGGGGTTTCGGCACAGCTCAGATGGGACACACAGCACTCACCTCAGCTACAAAGCTCACAACTTACAGATTCTCTTTTTCCAAGGGGCAGATGCCAAAAGTGTCAGTTAGGTGGGTCACCACAAGGCTGAGCTGTTTTTAAAAGCTAAGAGCAGAATCTCTACAGCTGAGGCTTTCCAGCCCCTTCCCATGCGTGCTCTCCAGCACTCCCCATGGTTCACCTCCCATCACAGGCTTGGACAGGAAACTGCCTGGTGTCTGGGCTGCCAGCTACATAAACTCTGCTCCAGGGACTGTAAGGGAGGCTGGGCTTTGTTTGGGGACCTCAGCTCCAGCTCTGGAGAGTAAAGGTGTGTCAGATCGCTTTTCCCACAGCAGGAGGTCCGTTTGGTCACCTCCATGTGCACGTTGGGGATCCTCCCACAACAAAGTGACCTGGTCCTGGAGTAAACTGCGGCTCAGACTGGAGCTGGCTGCAAACTGCACTTCAACACCAGACTGTAACTTGGAGCCTAAACCTTCAGAAAAAGACAATAATGCTGTAGCTGATGCTGATATTAGAAGAAAGGTTGGTCACCCTGATACAGCATCATCAAGTGTGCTTGCTACAGCGCTTAAAACGCTGTATCCCACGCAGACAAACCGCTATAAAACACTCAGAAGTGTGTTTTATATACACTTTGGAGGCGAGAGGAGCCAGGTGAAGCAGCTTCAAAGACCAGCAGCTCTGTTCTAAGCAATGTGCAAAAGCCCCAAGCTGAAGTTTTCAGCCTAAACTGCAAATCACCACCAAAACCAACCAGGGCATTCCCGGGACGCAGATGGAAAGGGGGAGCATGAAATGGTGAAGCCTCATGAAACAGAGACCACCAGCAGTATTTTTGAAGAGGGGCAGTTTTCCCTGCATGAAGCTTCTCCAGCATCTCCCAGTAGGAACACTGGGCAAGAAGGGACTGCCCAGTCACCTTGTCCTCCAGGCCCCAGGAAGCCATGTAGCCCAGAAGGAGATGCAGACACTCTCCAACAGCACGGGCTTTGGAGTGATATCACTGAAGTTCTGAGCTGTGCACCTTCCACAGCCCTCCAGGCTTCAATGAAAGTGAACTCTTCAAAACCAAGGTGACAATGAACTACAAAGAAAACACATCCTCTCCAGTTTGGATTAGGATGGGTTACCACCACAGATGGCTTCTGGAGAGAGTCCAGCAGAGGCTACTAAGATGATTAAGGGGCTGGAGCATCTTTCTTATGAGGAAAGACTGAGAGAGCTGGGGCTGTTCAGCCTGGAGAATAGCAGACTGAGAGGGGATCTCATCAATGTCTAAAGGGTGGGTGTCAGGAGGATGGGGCCAGACTCTTTCCAGTGGTGGCCAGTGACAGGACAAGGGGCAATGGGCACAAACTGGAACACAGGAGGTTCTGCTTAAACATGGGGAAAAACTCCTTTACTGTGAGGGTGCCAGAGCCCTGGGACAGGCTGCCCAGAGAGGGGGTGGAGTCTCCTTCTCTGGAGAGATTCCAAACATGCCCGGATGCAGCCCTGTGCAACCTGCTGGAGATGGACCTGCTTTGGCAGGGGGGTTGGACTGGATGATCTCAAGAGGTCCCTTCCAACCCCCACCAGTCTGTGACTCTGTGACAGTCACCCATCCTCATTACCTGAGCTCATCTGTTTTCCTAGAAACTCCCCCATCAAAACTTAGTTTAAATACTGCTGTCAGGATTAGACTTAAAATTTAGTTCTACTTCAAAAATTTAGACAATTTGATTTCATAATGTCTCAAATAATTCTGTATTTCCCCCAGATGACCCAACCCCCACCAGTCTGTGACTCTGTGACAGTCACCCATCCTCATTACCTGAGCTCATCTGTTTTCCTAGAAACTCCCCCATCAAAACTTAGTTTAAATACTGCTGTCAGGATTAGACTTAAAATTTAGTTCTACTTCAAAAATTTAGACAATTTGATTTCATAATGTCTCAAATAATTCTGTATTTCCCCCAGATGACTGGGGCACAGTTAAAACCTCTGTCTGGGTAACAAGTGGAAACGCCACAGGTGACCACATGAACACCACTCTGCAGCCCCCTCCTCCCATCCTGGTCCTGGGAGAAGGCAAAGAAGGGAGCTGGCAGTATGAAGATGTAAATAAAAGGCATATGAGAACTGATGATATGTTGATAAAACAGAAGAGAGACATAGGCAATTGGAGGTACTGCAGGGCAAGAAAAGAAATCCTCCAGAGCTGAGAAACCATGAAGCTACCTGGACATCACAGAGCATGTTTTCTTGGCCTTTCCTTTTGCTCTAACAGGCCAGTTTTAATTTCTTCAACCCTCCTCAGACTTTCCACCTGAATCTAAAGGCTCATGCTCACAGCCTGCTTTTCTGTATGTACATTCAGGCAGACACATCAGGAAACCTCTACATGAAAAGAAGTTACTGATTAAAAGGAAAAACCCTGCAGCCTCACCACAAACCGTTTTATCCAAATGCCACGAAATATTTACAGTCTTTACAAAGTCAGAAAAATGCATTTATAAACGCAGACATGTTCTAAGCACGTAAACATTTCACAGGCTTCACATGGCTTTAAGCAGAAGTGCAAGTCATGTCCGAGCAGATCACGCTCTTTCAGTTTTGTATGTCCCTCTGAGACCTGAACCTGGTCTGCCTGAACAGAAAGCAAAACTGAAATCAGTTTGAGTCATTTTTTTTTGAAGAGCCAGAGCTTTTCAGCTGCACAACATTTTTTTTCCTTGTCTGTGCGCTGGTAAGATTAGCAAACCAAGAAGTGACAGTATCTCTTGATTTGTAAGTGGATAGCAGCCAAGTTCAGTCTTTCTGGTACAAAGAGAGGATTTTTAAATTAGCAAACAATGAATTTGCTCTGAGGGACTTTCCATGTCCTGTCGGAAATAGCGCAGCGAGGGACTTTCCACGGCGGGAGCGCTGAGCTGCTGGAGGACGTTACACACATTGCTGCCTACAGATGCAACCCTTCTGATGAGGCAAGCTCTATTTTGCGGCACTAAACTAACGAGCCTGCCCCTAAGGCAGGGTTTAACTTTAGTCCAAAGTACTAAGAAAGACCCTGTGCTAACAGAGTCTGGTTTGACGCCTCCTTTCATCAGCCCTCCTCAGCCACACATACCATCTCCTAAGCTCTGAATGCACGAGGACAGCCAGGCCTGATTAAATGCCACGGCTCATGCAGGCAGCTGGCAGGAGAGATAACACAAGCCAGACCTTGCCTCCTCCCACCGGTTCCCAGGAAAGAATCAGCTTTTCCCGAGAGGGCACAAAATAACCTCACCCCCATTAGACTGAATGTCCCCCCAAGGCAGGCAGGACAGGCAGGCTCAATCTCCAGAGGAATCAACTAGCACTGCTCGAAATCCCCGCTCCCTTCTCACTGCACCAGGCTGCCCCAGAATGAACAAAAACCGGGACAAGGTCTGTAGCCCAAGCACTCCGGAGCTGCACCGGAGTACAAAATGTGCTCTGTTTTACCAAAGCACCTCACAGGAGCTTTTGGAGATCAGGTGGAGAGTAAAAAAAGAGGCACAGCAGTTCAGACTCTGAACTCTCACGCAGTTGTGCAGATCCCGGAGCACCACCCACACGTGCAGCCTTGCAAGAAAGACTTATCCCAGGACACTCGCTGCCCTTTTAAACTTCTACTGCAAGTCCTGGCTGGGCTCAAGCCTGGATTCAAACACTTGTAAGACCACACAGGGAGGACCTTTGGTAGCTGGTGAGTTTTGCTGAGCCCTGCAGGAACTCTTAAAGCTTCGTTGTTTTGGTTTTTTTTAAAACCCAGGAAAAAAGTTCAGAAGAGCTCCTCAGTCCCACCACAATCAACAGCATTGGAAGCTGCTGACAAATGTAATTTGGTTTCATCTGATGGAGATGAGCTCACTTACTGCAATCATCATTTTGAACACTGCAGTGGGCATCAGACTTCCAGTCACTGGTCACCAGCAGAAATTAAAGGGTGAGTCAAACAATCTGCAGTCACCAACAGCACAGCCTGAACCTGGAACCTCAGTAAAACACCCTGTACCCTGATATGCAACTCCCAAACTCTCCCTGCTGCATCACTGTTAGGCTTTTAACTTGACATTTACTCAGTTGTACAGCCACACTATGAGCCACTTATAGATCTATGAATGAGGGTTTCACAGCAGGAGAACCATTTAGAATCCTACCTCCCCTCAGCTTTTGGACTCAACTTCAGCAAAAAGAAGCGGAAGATTCTAGAGAGCAGGACAAGGAAGCAGAGGTGCAGAAGCATCTCTCAAGAGGCTCAGCAAGCTAGGCAGAAAACTCAGGCAGGATCCACAGCTGTTGTTTCTTCCTCTCATCTTGCAGCAGCATTGCAAAGAGAATCCTGACGTTACCCTACCCAGGCTGAGGTGACACCTTTTCCTGACACACATCTCAGTCACCACCAAAGCTCCATGAACCACAGGACCACAATCTTCACCTAGATCGAGTGCTAGAAGGAAATTAAATTTATTCCTCTTATCTCAGGCCCCCCACATAGTGGTTCTTTCATTCCAAGATGACAAAACTGTCCTTCAGGAGCACCAAAGCTTCACAGGTGAATATACATTCACTACTCACTGATAATGCATTTGAATGATGCAAACTGCCCCAGCAGAGCTGACTTGTTGGAAAGCACAAGGATGCATGAGGCCCACTGCCATCTTCAGCAAGAACACACGTCTCACGAGGCACGTTAACCGTAAGCGTGCTAAGGACCAAATGCCCAGGGCCACAAAAAGGCCTGGATTAAAGAGCTGATGGGTTCCTTCAAGAAAAGCAGGGCTGGAAAAAATATCCTGTCATGGCCCAGAACAGCTCAGAGCGATGGGTGGCCAGTCAGTGACCAACACCCAGTCCCACTGCCCTGGTAGTTATGGGGGCAGCTGGCTGGAAACAGGATCATGGCCAAGCCACCTTCCCTGAGCTCACAGGTCTGAACTAGGTTTTAGGTTCTCATAACAAAGAGAACTTCACAATAATTTCATGGCACAGCACAGTTTCTTGACAGTTTGCTTGTCATTTATAGCAGAAAGGAGTTGGAGATAGAATGGGTGGTTCCCAGCACGGAAGGGACATGCTCGGTGCCTGCGATCACAAGCAAATCTGAAATTGTTCCAGTTCAGCCTGTGCCCTCAGCAGGGCACACAAACCTGGCTCAGACAAGGAATCTCTCCAGCTTATAGTGAAGTCCTCGGAGCTGACAGCTCCCACCATCAGTGTCAGTGGACAAGAAAAACCACCTGAGCCTTCCCCACAGACAGAGGGAAGAAAAAGGACACTGCCAACAAAAGCTTTGCTTTGATCTTTACCTCGTATTCTTTGATAGTCCCCTTCCAAGTGCAGCCACTGTTAATACAGACAGCAGGCAGACTCTCCACCTCCCGACGAGCTGCGTTGTCTGGGAAAGCCTAAAATGGAAAAAAAACCCCAAGAAAACCACAAAAATTACCGAGGGGTTGCAGTTTTGTTTGGATCTCTTAATTCTTTACTAAGCCTTTACTAAGACTCCTCCCAGGGCAGTTGGCACATCACCTGCTCAGAGGTGTGCTAATGGCAAACAGATCGTTATGGAAGCCTTAAGTAGGGCACCGCTGCGTTAACCTGACCTGGATTTTAGAAGCTGGGGAGTCCACCACGTTAATCACAACTCTCACTACTGAAGAAATTGTTTCCTAGGAATGAGGGATTCTCAGAACTTGTGTTCTAAACAAAAACCGCACGTGGAATTAGTGACATCAATGAGCTTCTTTATTTTTTAAAATGCATTTTTACTTACCGAGCTTGTTTCCAAAATAGAAATTCCTTCTTCATATATTCCTTCCTGAATACAGCTGGCACACTTTTGAGGTCCAGCACTAGCAGACAGAAAAAATAATCATCAAATACAACAAAGAGAGATCAATTTATGATTTAATGATAAAAAAAATCCTGGTAACTTTATAAAATTAAAGCATTTTCTTATTCTTAAAACAACACATTGAGCCTTTGCTCATGTGTCATTTTGACACCCATTTCTGATTCTAATTTTTTTTTCTCTTCTCCTGATTAACTGCTCTGTTCAACTTCCCTCACTCAAAGGCAGGAGTGAGGCAGAACACTATGAAACTTTTCTGGAAGTCAGCACGTGCTTAAATTTCTCACACTTTGGTACAACCACCATATGACTTTCAGGAGCAAGTTCCCTGCTGCTGGCAGGGGGGTTGGAACTGGATGATCTTTAAGGTCCTTTCCAACCCAAACCAGTCTGGGGTTCTATGATTAAGTTCTTCAGTAGCTGTGAGGAAGACTGAAGGAGATGAGTGATTGACCTGGATCACCATCTGAACAGCAAAAACAATCCAGGGGATTCTGGAAAAGGGAACTTTGAAGTAACCCCCAAAACAATAAAAGCAAGTCAGAGATCACCTATTCCCTTAAAGAAAACCTGATGTTGAACCTCAGCGATTGAACACAGCTGAGAAGGCCCCGAAAATTAAACTTTTCCCTTTTTTTTTTTTTTTTTTTTTTTGCTTAAAAATGCCTTTTCAAGCATTTTAGCTTCAGATTGAAGACACAAAAGTTACCTTATAATTTTCTTCAGACAATAGGAACAGTAGCGGTGTCCACACTGAGCTTGAAAGGGTCTCCTCAGTATATTCTTGCAATCGGAGCAGAGATATTTGACCTCCAGCTTAGTTCCCAGGATCTCCTTTGCAAATCCGGGCTGGTTTAGATCCAAAGAGCCAGGCGGAGTCGAGTTTGCTGCTGCCATGTGAACGAAAAATTCTGACTGTATCTCCAGAGCCTGAAAATAAAAATATTTTCTCTGATTATAACTGGATAGTGACAATTTTTTTACATAAACTACATTAGTCACAGCACATTCCACTGGCACCTAAAACCCAACAC